GCGGAACCCCTTGTTCTGCGTATACGAATACATATATGGCACTTGCACGTCACATCGGCTGCAGGATATCTATACCGCAAGGTCCTAAAACGCGCAGTGATTCCACAATGATTCCTGTTCATTATCTTCAGCCTAAAAATCAAAAGTTTCTTGCTAAGAAGACGATGCTATATGCGAGGAAAAACAAAAAGAGAGAAGACCCGGAGGTTAACCAGACACACGCCGGGTTCGCTGATATAATTGGAAAGCGGAGAATCACGAATTGACTGTGCGCGGTCGTGGTTGTGATGCCGAATACAAACAGACGAAGAACGCACTTACTGAGTTTCGGGAGTGCAGCAACTGTCGATGCATATATCCACATCAATTGTACGTCTCTATAACTTGTCTACGACGTGTGCAATCTGCATTGCACCCCCCCCCCCTCTTCACCTTGTCAACTAAGAGGGGGGCGCCAAACCAGCTCCATACATTGATATAATAGGAAGGGGGCGCGCTGCAACAAACCTTTGCCCCTCCCCTTTCTACTTTCGAAGGAAGGAAGGAAAGAAGGAAGGAAGGAAGGAAGGAAGGAAGGAAGGAAGGAAGGAAGGAAGGAAGGAAGGAAGGAAGGAAGGAAGGAAGGGAGGAAGGAAGGAAAGTAGGGGGAAAAGAACGGCAGGGAGGTTAACCAGCCTATAGGCAGCCGGTTTGCTACCCTGCGTATGAGAGAGGGATGGGGGAGATGAAAGATAGAACTCTGCATGCGCTTATGACCACCAGGCACTTCTCGCTAAGACACTACGCAGTAATACGACAAAAATGCCGAACGAAGAACGCGGCTATACATCCTGCTAACTAAATCAACGTCATGGAGGACATTGTTGACGAGTGTCCGAGACCACCTCAGCGCTGCATCACACGTGTAACACCGGGCACGCGCTTAATCGCTACGCAACGCGGCTGCAAGGACGAACTTCCGCGGAGGATGGCTTAACTCTCGGAGACCCGCGCTTGCACAGATGTATGTATATACGCCGAGCGCGGAAGTTCGCGCGACTCGGCACGACGTGTCACGGGGGCGCGAAACACCGTTCGAAATAAATGATCGCACGTTTCTCACGGCGATGTCGATTGGCCCGCTGCATGCCGTCGCTTGCAGCGTGATATACTCCCGACACGTAACTGAGCGCGCGAATCGGGAACGTATATAGACGTGCTCGAGTGTGAGCAATGGCCCAGTGCGCGTAAAATCCATGCGCGCACCGGCAAGTCGGCAAGACCGTGGGTGCCTTCTCTTTTAACGAGCAGCGCCTGCGAGAGTGTATATAAAACGTTGAATACATACGCGCTATATAGACTTCGCGACCTGCTAACCCCAATGCTCGCACATCACCCTCCGGCGTGTCATAGGCGTACGTCTTGTATCTTCGGCGTATACAGATAGCTCGATCGGCCGCTCCGCGCGTGGGTCACGGAGGAGGCGGCGTCCAGTCGTGTTTACGACGACGTCGTGTCACGTTTTCGGCGCGCATAGCGGGTCTCGCGATTGTGTGCAGGGGACCGGTCGTAAAGAAAGGCGCGTCCCAACGCGGGCAGCGTCTACGTGTCCCCCCGGCAGCGAGTGGGAAATAAATTAAGATTGTAAAGGAAGAAACGCGAAGCCTATAGGCTCGAGCGTTCTAACTTCTCCGTGAGCAGAATTTGCATATATATACATATAGTATGACACTGTATACAGTGTCATACTCGGTGCCGAGATGGGTCTGCACGGATCGGGATGCGTGCCTAAGTAATGAATCGGCTCTAATTACGCATGCATGTTTTTTTTTTTTCCTGAAAGAGATGGGATTGAAAAAGTGTGTGACATACAGGCTATATTCTCTAGTACATGAAAGCATGGTTGTATCATTCGTCAAGCCTTATTGCATAATTCTGGATTCTGACGTAAATTACAATATCCTTTGTTGCATATGCGGGACCTTGTACTTTCATATGTAGCGGAAACTGAGAGAGATGTGTATAAATAAATAAATAAAGAAACGAATGTTGTTAGGACACACAACCTTTCTCAGGTAATAGCTTACAATTTAAAATCAAACCGATCCCAGCAGCTCTCGGTGGAAATCATTGGACACGAAATTTTCAAGCGCCTTCGAAAGCCCTGTCCATACAGAGAGGTTCTCTTGTCTCACAGCGGAAGCAGAAGTAGTAGTGGGGATTAACAAATCTTTACATTACGCACAGAGATGAGGCTCGAAGTATGTATGCCCCCCATCGGAAGGGCGTGAGGAATTGCGCATTCCACTCGCGACGTTGGTTAAACTCGTTTCGTGTATGTTCTTATGAAATAAGAAAACGCGAGTTATAACGTATACGCACAGAACAAGTGCCAAAACGCAAGTTCTCTCCCTCAGAATCCACCGTGTCATCGCTACACCGTAGAAAAAATGATGCATGCTGAGCATTTTTATGAGAGGAGAAAAATATTTCAGTTGTGATGTACAAACAAGTTTACTAAGCGTGCGGGGTGCACTTACCCTACAAGCTTCTAAACACAAACACTTCCACAGTGCCCCATGTTTGCTCAAACTCCGCGGCCACTGCAGCTGCATGCGTGATAATACATCAGTCCACTCTAGCTGCGAAAGAAGGTTCACTCAAATTCACAAGTGCGCGCCTCGCTCGCCTAAAGAGACAAGGCAAACACCAATATGCAGCCGCGCGCGTGGTGGTCATCATTCCTGCGCCAAGTTTTCCAGGTGAGACGCACTTTGTGTCTTCAAGTATAAAAAAAAAAAAAACTCCTCTAAACAACGCACCCATGTCCCGGCGCTTGCATGGATGCTGCATGCTTGCCGCCACATATGCAGACGAATGCGGGAAAGATTTCCGTGCGAGATCTAATTCATCAACGAGGCTGCCCGGCGCGAGAACGCAGCCACCGAGCGATGCCGTGAGCTTTTGGGGAAGCCGCGGCACGCACGCCACCCAGCGAGCGCATATCTCCGATGCCCCATGCTTTCGCAGCACTGCCTACGTGGTGCGGGAGGAGAGACACAGACGGGAGGCGAAATAGGGAAGGAAGGCTGGCTGGGGAGCAACCGAAAATCGCGTGACTAGCGCGGGGGCCACAGCGGCCCAGCGATAGGGAGCAGGCAGGCCGCACCCGAATCGCAACAGATGGCGCCACCGGCGTGCGTATACCTATGTGCGTACGCTCGGCGTTTCTTGCTCGCGTGTACTTTCGTTTTGTTTGACAGTTCCTTTTCGTCGATGTCGAAAGACGCTCAGAGTCTGTTGGTAAAAAGATAAGGAAAAAGATCATCTTCTAGTGCACACTTGTGGCGAATTGAGACGCTTGTCCTTCTGTCGTGTTTTTTTTTTTTTTTTCGCGTCATAAGCTACGTTAAGAATTGAGACTATCAGTGCTTTCGGGAAGCTGTAAGCAGGCCAAAGTAGGAAAGTGTGAAAAGTGTGTAGTTCCCAGCGAGATATGTGAAAAGTGATGTGTAGCACGAAGGAGGGGGAGGTGTATAGAGGGTCTTACGACCGACAACCCAAATTTCTCATATGTTGTGTGTGCAGCAAATATACGCGCGTGCATCCTTAAAAAACACTTTGCACGAAGCTGGAAAAATTGCCAGAAAAAAATTTGTGGCTACGCCCATTGGTATAGAGTGGGTAGCTCAAAACCCTTTGCGTCTTCCTGTGTCCTCGGGAGAAGCTGATTAACAGAAAAATATTTTAAATGCATTCACAAAGAGAGAGAACACAACTTTATTGTCGTCAGACTTAAGGAGGTAGGTGACCCGCCAGGCTGAACCTGATGGCCACCTCCTCTGCCCTTTGTACGGCCTGGAGCTGAACGGCCAGGCTGGTGGAGGTCAGAACTGCCTCCCACCCCTCTGGCGAGGGAGCGGCTAGGAGATCGAGAGAGGGGGGATCTTCCCTGCAGGCCCAGAGAATGTGATTAAGTGTGGCTATTGAGCCACAATGCGAGCAATGCGGATCAATCGTGCATTCACAAAGATTTCTTCCCAAAGACCAACAGAAGAAATAGGCCACTCTCGTTGGGAGGTGATATTTGGCATATAGGTTAAAAAAAAAGATAGGTAATCAAATGGACAGCGGTTGACGACGCGACGTTGAATGTCGCGGACCATATTAGCTATGGCGTCACGTGGTTCTAACAGCGTCTGCCCAGGCACCACTCAAATTTTCTGCTTTTCTTTTGTTTTAGTAAAGAGCGCGATGAACTCTAAAGTACCAAGGGTCTAGTCCTATAACAATTTGTGAGACCTACGCCACACGAGGGGCTAAACAAAAGAAAATAAATTTTTATGGTAATGACATCACGCTAACGCAGAGGCTCTGGTTGTGCGGCGCAGTGTTCAATAAAAGAAGCATCTAATTTTATTTTCTCTTGAAATCTTCAATTTTTTTACTGCGAAATATCCTTTAGTGGGCTATTTACAGAACATAACCTACTTGATTTGTTTCAATGGCCTTGAACGCCTTAATTCCATAATGGGTGTCAGTCGGCTGAACTTCGAACTTAGGTGGTGCCCGGATGTACCTTGTTCAGGCCTGCTGCTTTGCAAAAGAAAAAAAAGAGAGAGAGAGAGATGGCGCGAAAAGGAGAAAGCGGTGCACATGTCGCGCATGACGGTAATCGTGAATCATATGGTCACGGGAAGTGGCGTGGAAAAAAATACATTTACATAGAAGAGCGGAACAGGTCACGCGTGACGAAAAGTCTTCATCAAGGGCACCCCGTCATTTTCTCCCTCGCGATTTCATCTTCTTTGTCGTCAGTACATTGAAAAATGTTGCATTAGGTTTATGCACAATGTGCAGAAATGTTCTGCGCGTGCATCTCTCTTCTGAGTCACAATGCGCACAGCATTGCTTTTCTGATCTAGTGCGCATCTTATCCGTTGAAGTCCAACTTATAGTTGGATAAGTCGACATTGTTCGTTCAATCGGTTCCTGAACGACGTTAACGGGCATGCACCTACCTTGGAAGTAGCTTTTCGTTCGCAGGTAGGAGACGCTCAGCCTGAGTATGGACAGCTTGTCCAGCTTGGACAGCACGTTCTGGTCGAAAGGCAGCAGACTGGCCAGCGTGTCCAGTTCGGCGTTCAGGCGCTCTCGGTGCCGCTTGCTGGGGTTTGACTTTACCGGCTGACCATTGGGGCCTTCCTTCGGCGCTACCCGTACGCTGATAGGTGACCACATGGAAAGAAAGCAAAGTGGCGATCGACATGATTTCGCGGCACAGGAGCTGAGAGTACCATAGCGCGGAACAAAACACGTGACAGTGAAATGCAATAACTTCGGACTAAATTTTTTAAAGTGTGAAACCACGTGTTAGCGCACCTACGTCTCTCGCTTGCTCTCCCTCTACTCTTCTCCCCCCCCCCCCTTTTTTTTCCTCCGCCGTTTGTGAACTGTGGAGGTGCTGGACTGCCGTATACTTACTCGCATTCTGCCAGCCTTGATTAGCACTAATATCTCATGCGAGATTTGTATAATAAATAATTGCTGCCATCGTGCAATAATGTAGTATATGGATTGTGAAATGTGGCTGGATTCAATTCAATTATTTTATTGTGATTTTTATTTTCATAAGGATAAAGCAAGACAAGTGCACGAGCAACGAAAGCGATGATACCTCGTAGTTTTTGCTTACCCTTGGCAAATGTTAACTAGTGGGCACATACGCTGGCTAAATAACTATGAGCGTATGCTAATGTGAAATTGTGTCGGCTGTCCTCCATTTTTTTACTTCAACATATCATCGAATTTTCAACTCGACAAAGGTCTCGCATTTACATAGAAAGTACCTGCGTTAGTCCTGCCAGAATTCTTTTATCACGCAGTGTTTAGCCAATTGCTTCGTGAGGTGTAGCCAGCTGCTCCTTTTCGAATAGGAGAAGTGATGTGGTAAAAGCGAGATAACTAGTTAGTAATGAACAAAATAGTTAGCACGAACAAAAAAAGCGAGATGATGTAAGATCATTCAGACTGTTAAAGAGACATATCACACGAAACGATATTAATAATGAGATAAAATGATAATGTATAGGATGCAACCAAAAATAAACTGGTCTCACAAAACGTATTACAACGTTAGGTCAGTTCTTGTATCTTTACGAAATACGGAAAAACACGAAGTATGCTCAGAGAAACACCCACGACTTCGGGCACAGGAATGACAATGAACTGCACTCACCAATACCCCGCAGATATTACTCCATTCTAGAAATGTATGGAGGGCAACGATCGCATTGGTCGGCTAGTTCATTTCATTGTTTCAAATACTCGATGGGGCGGATTCGGCACTGGACAAGAAAACACAAATAAAAAAGCTGCTGATGCAGGACAAGCTCTGCACGCAACTGATCGCACAGGACGTGCTCTTGTCCTGTGCATCAATGTCCTTTCTCCTTACATCCGAGCAACACAGTATCCGAGAGTGTACGAACGATTTCAACAAAATAAAAAAAGCTTTCCCTCGAAATTCATTGCGGAAGCTAGACGTTCTGACGCCTTTGTCAGTGCTGCCATTGGGTCGATTTGAAAATAAGCCAGAATCGAAGCTAGAAATAGCCGAAGCAGCCGCGTCATTGAACTTTATTTCCAAGTTTGTAGCCAGGAATGTCGCCAGAGAAGGTATTATGAGTGCTGTTATGTTATTATTGTACAATAGAAAAATATCGTTTTGAATAAGCAAGGCCATACATATAACTACATGCGCAGTCTTTATCTCTCGTTTCGTCTTAAAGCTACGGATAAATTGCCAACAGACTAAATTCATGAACTATAATAAATTCGGTTCACTTCTACGTAGTTTATGTAAAATAGATATCGCTATTACCAGACACGAAGTGATGTTGGAACATTCAAGCGAACAAGTCAGCAACAACATTAAACAATGAATCAGATATGCCTTGAAGCCACAGATAGAATTTAATTAGTTTTGTTTACGAATATTACCAGTCTATATCTTCAGGTAGTAAAATTTAGATAAACAGACCAGCTTTGCTTTGTTGCAGATTCCCGCTTTCCACGAGTTCACACCAGAACATGCGCTGCGCATCAAAATTTGGAACTCGCGCGTAGCACCATGGCAATGGTGCTATCTATACGCGCGGGCAATCAGATCAGCGTGCCAGAAACGCGTTTGCCAACATGCAGGCAACTTCTCCACTCCGTATTTGCAGGTACGCTGCATGTTGCTTTTGGTTGCATCGATGCTCACCAGCCCGTTAGTGTGTGGAATGACGGCGCGCGTATCGGCTGAGACAACAGAAAAAGATTAAAGACAGGGCGTCTTATTCCATCTCCAAATGTTAGGAAAAATGCGTCAAAACATGTGTGAAAACGCAGCCACAAAGTACGCATCGCGACAAAGACGGGGCTGTAAAGTAGTCGATTTGGCGCAGTGTAACCACCAACGGCAGCCCTGACTTGTGTGTATAGTTTAGATAAATTAGGAAACTAACGTTTCGGACTAATCGACGGCATGCAGCTGCACCAGACCGTCATTTCGTCTTTCGATTAAGCTCTTTAAAAAAGAGGACCACTCAGGAGCGAAACATCGGATTCGGCTGAATTTACCACATTTTGGTTTTAAACAGAAAGTTCTGAATGCCAGTTTTGACTAGCGTATGTATTCAACTGGTGGTGGCTGCACTACAAGCGCGGTCTGTCGTTACGTCAAACCTTGTGCACGAGTCGAATACCGCAAACCAGCAGATATGAAAAAAAGAGAGGAAAAAAAAAACACTTCTGTCGGGAATCGAGAGTTCATTGTACAAATGTTGAAATAATTTATTTGATTTCATTTGATTTGAATATATCGCTCACAAATTTTATGATGATAGTGCGTCGGACCGGCGGCCATGCCAGTAGCGAATCACGACTCCTTCCGTCGGCCGCAGGAACGAAAACAGAACAAAAACAAAGTCGATTTTTGCACTCTGCGAGAGCGGTCTCCTTTTCCAACGGTGGGCATCAAGTCGTCGATATATCGACGACGCCATCTCGCTGCCGAGAAGCGAAGTTCGGCAGGGGAGCGGTGAAGTGCTCCTTAATTGAGGCTCCCAGCAGGCATGCATTCGCGAACGCCCTTAAAGAAACTTAATGGATGCCAAGTTTTTCTCGCAATCGATAGCGCCAACTCCATGCATCGCCTATACGTAATGCACACCAATAGCTTCTTGTGCGTATGCGGACCAGCGGACGCGTGCAGAAGGCAACGCGCCTACGTGTAGCTTGAACCGCCAACGATTTAAACAACGGCGAAGGGTCTTGAACGGGGATACGCTTAGAAGGAGACACTAAATTACTGGTTCTTACCAAGCAGTGCGTTGATGAGTAATAGCATTTACCCCGTGTCTGTGTCAATTAAGTGCTAGTATCTCTGTCGAGGGGGTCGCTGTTTGCGGAACTACCAGTGGCCTTATATATAACATCGCTGTAGAAATGGTCTTTTGTGCGGCCGCAACAAAAGAAGTGACATGCCAGCACCAGTGCATGTTCAAAATGTCGGCGATTCGCGTTGCTTGTAGTGACATTACACTGACCGTATCGCGTTTTTATGACGAGTTCAACGGCTGTACCTGTTTACCAATGCGCGCAGACATTTTGAACAAATTCCACTTCGAATGGCTATAGCAGCAACGTGGTTGCGACGCGCCCCATATTTATAGCAGTACGACACGTCATAAAACAACTTGCCCTCGCTCGTTAGCCATACTCCATTCCCTTTGGTACTAGATTCTTAATGAAGTCATGAATAAAGTGCAAGATGTAGCCAGGAAACTAAACTAAAAACGCCAAGTTTACTGGTTGTACGTGGCACTTGTGCGAAACGTCAAGACGATTTGAGGTTGCGTTTCAAGCGACGAGCACACGAAGTCGGCTCTTCGGGTTGAAGAACGAACAGAAAACGACACTAGTAAGGCGAGAATAACCAACCGCAACCAGTGCCAGGAGCGCGCAGTAAGACAAGCCACTTCCCGAGGTCACCTAGAAACAACTCGGTTAAATACGAACGGCGGATAAGGAGCAGCTGTCTATGCAAATGGACCCTCGGCTTTGGCTGAAACAAAGAACGACAGGACAAAAGCGACACGGACAGCGATGTGCGCGAAATTCGACCTCAAACGAGTAAGAAACGTACTCTAACATAGCCGTTGAACTCGCGAACGCACGAGCAAGATGTGGTGCGAGAATAAGCGAAAGAGGAAGGGGCCAAGTCGAAGACGATGAAGTCTGTTCCCGTATGATCGTATCATGCAACCGCCGTGCAAGCGCTTCGTTCCGGATCGCGACAGCGGCACAGTGCTGCCAACTTGTACGGTGTTTCCACGTCAGAAAAAGCACGGTGGAACAGATCCTCCTCTGCTTCGCCTTGGCTTCCTCCTTTCGCCACTGAACACCCCCTTCACTCCATCCGTACACTCGCCGGTCCATCCTTCCTTCCTCACGCTTACGCGAAGAGCGCCATTACGCTTACGACGCGCCGCCCCTTCCCGCCCGCGCCGCGCGCGGCCGGGCGCATTCAATCAAGATGGCGTGCCTGGCGAACATCTCGTTTGCGCGTTGACCGCTGGGCGCGCTGCGAACATTACCCGGCCCCGCGGCGCTAATTCGGTTGACTGGGTGCCGGGGGTTCCGTCCCGCCTTTCTTCCTAGCTTCGGCCTTCGCTTTGTTTGTTTAGATTTTTTCTCCCTCGAACAACTGCGGTCCAGGTAAGCGGCAGCTCTGAACACACACACACAGGTAAGGCGCCAGATAACCGCCGCAGGGCGCGAACACCACAGTCGCGTATATATATAAAGGGGTCTTCTTCCATCGCACTTGGTTTGGCCCCGAGATAGCATTCATAATCCGCGCGCTGAAAGAACCGCTCATGCCAGAGGGGAAAAAAAGCAGCGTCTCGCTTTTTCGCGCGCGCGAGATTTCTGCTGCAGCCTTCCGCGGTGTGTAAGAGGACCCGGCGCTTAAGTGCGCGCTCTGCCAGTCACGCCGCCCAGAGCCGCCTCTCCGCTTTCTTCTCCGCGATGCACGCCAAGTGCGCTTTTCTCGAGGAAGCGCATACTACGCCTCTTAATTCGCACCTTCTCTATCTTGCTATTCCTACCTCGCGGTTTCCTACGATCTAGTTTTTCATGATTTTTTTTTTCTAAAAGCATTAATGGTTTGGAAAA